AAAGCCAGCCCAGGCAGGAGAGACCGTGAGACTCCTATCTCCAATAAACCACCAGAAAACCAGAAGTAGCGCTGTAGCTCAAGTGGTAGAGCGCTCGCCTTGAGCTGAAGAGCTGAAAGACAGCGCCCATGCCCAGAGTTCAAGACCCACGGCCAACCAAAAAAAAACAAAACAAAACAACAACAACAAAAAAGAAATGCTAAGGGAAGTGCTACAAAGTGAAAGAAAGAAATGTGAGTGAACACACACACACACACACACACACACACACACACACACACACACACACCATGGGAAGGTGAAAAAAAGCCAAAGAGTAATTACACAAACAAACTCAGAAATGCCCAAATAGTTCAAGGTGTCTAACCCATTCTTATCTTTAGTATAATAACTACTTTTATATACTAAAATAGGTAATACACAAAAACACAATGAAGCATATCCAAAATTCAACACAAGGGGAGGAACGGAGTTTATAATGTAGAGTTTTCATTAGTGTATTTAGTGTATTTTCTCATTTTTTTGTTCTTGTTTCTATTCTTAGGTTTGTGAGCAGGTTAAATTGCTAATCACTTCAAAATGGTGTATTATAATCAAAGGAAGATTTTGTAATCTTTGCGGTAAATGAATGAAACAATGAATGCAGTCTATTCTGACCATAACAAAGATTTGATTCTCTTGAAATAACTGCTCATTTTAATCATTTATCATCCTTGGTAGCAATTCCTTCTCTCCATTGAGTAAAAAGATAATAATGGGCTTAGCTGACTTCAATATATTAGTGAACATCAGAGTCAAAACACTATTCTCCAAAAGAGTTTTCTTTGTCAGCATGATAACATAAGTTAAGCAATCACACACTGTTGTTTTGGCAATGGACAGACACGGTCACTTCCTTTTGAACATTTGCCCTCCAAAGCATAACCATGGTACCATAGTAAATCTTGTAACTGTACATCAAGAAGTTGATTTAAACCCCAAGAAAGGACCAGAGCTTCGGCTCATCAAGGTGCAGGCTACCCTCCATGCATACATGCATATTTAAAGAAGCCAAGAATTGGGACACACCCCTGGACGAGTGCTTTGAAAATAAAAACCTTAGGTGTCTAATTTTGCAATTGTGCAAATTGCTGGAGTGAACTACTCTGCTGAGGGTAAAAGGATAGTAGGATTGGCAGGGGTATGTGGAGAGGGACTAAAGTGAGGCCTAAGAAAAGGGAATTCAATGAATGTTGAGTTTGTAAGGATTTCCCAGGGCTAAGGAAATACTTATTAGTCAAAGAAAGGGAACCAGCTGCTGTGTTTGGAGATGGGCTACTAAATGACATAGATCATGTTTAAACAAATACCAAAAATGCCTGCCTGAAGGAGTCATATTCTAATAGCTCATGTGCAACATTGATTTCTGTCTTTTAAAATTGCATTTTAATTGCACTGATGTCAAAGCCAATTTTCAACTTTTGCAACTTTTTTGATATTAGTCTTCTTTTAACAATCTAAGGGATCGGACCATTTGTAATTATTGAGGTGCTAGTGTTTTGTCTAGCATGTGTTGAACATGTGAAAAATGATTATGTGCATATCTTCTGCCAATCTAAACAAAAAATACTTAGATAACAGATTTCTATCTCTAACTCAGAGATGGGACTTAGGCTAAGTTTTTATCTCCTACCTGTGTTTTAGTTGTTGACTGAGATCTTTCTTTTCTTTTACCTTAAAATTTTGAAATAATTTCAAATCCACAGAAAACTTGAAAAGTAAACACCTAAGAAGTAAGTCTTTATCAGATGCACCAGTTGCTATAATTTTGCCACTTTTGTTTTATTAATTTCTCACTTTATATATTTGGAGAACTGACTGCGTACATCATAACAGATCTGCTCATTTGCTTTTCTTCCTTTTTTTTCTTTTTCTTTTTTTTTTCATGTGTGTATACTGGTACTAGGGCTTGAACTCAGGGTTTGGGAGTCGTCCTTTAGCTTTTTGCTCAAGTTTGGTGTTCTACCACTTGAACCAAAGATCCTCTTTCAGCTGTTTGGTAGTTAACTAAAAATAAGAACTTCATGGACTTTTCTTGTCTGGGGTAGCTTTGAACCTCCATCCTTAGATCTCAGTCTCCTGAGCAGCTAGGATTACAGGCATGAGCCACTGGCGCCCATCTCTTACTTTTCAATATTACTTAAGCATCTCCTTAAAACATGAATATTTACTTTAGTCTATTTTCATAAGCTCAGTAGCTGAGACCTTGCTTGAATATTAATATTGAATTCATTGAACATTAATAACAGATTTTTGCTTAATCAGCCATCCTTATCTCAATTTCCTCCATTATCTTAAAAATATTTATTAACATTTTCCTCTCCAGTCCAATATAACATTTTATTATTACTATTTAATCTGATTTCTTAGATTTTCTTTCATGCCAGCACCAAGCCTTGAACTTAGAGCCTTGCCCACTCACATGGCTTTTCTGCTCAAGGATGGTGTTCTACCACTTGAGCCATATCTGCCATCTGGCATTTTTGCTAGTTAATTGCAGATACAGTCTCCTGGACTTTCCTGCCCACACAAGCTTTGAATCACCATCCTCAGATCTCAGACTCTGGAAGAGCTAGGATTACAGGGAGCCACGTGTACCTAGCTTGAAGCTTTTCTTTTCTTTCTTTTTTTTTTTTGGTCCGGTTGTGGGGCCTGAACTCTGGGCCTGAGCACTGTCCCTCAGCTCTTCAGCTCAAGGCTAGTGCCCTACCACTTGAGTCACAGCGCCACTTCCGGCTTTTTTCTTTTTGCTTATGTGGTACTGAGGAATCAAACCCAGGGCCTCAAGCATACAAGGCAAGTGCTCTACCACTGAGCCACCTTCCCAGCCCCTTGAAGCCTTTCTTTACTTTTAACAACATAGATATCTTTAAAGAATAAGAAGCTGAGATCTGAGGATTGCAGTTCAAAGCCAGCCCAGGCAGGAAAGTCCATGAGACTCTTATCTCTAATTAACCACTAGAAAACTGAAAGTGTTAACTGTGGCTCAAAGTGGTAGAGCTCTAGCCTTGAGCAGAAGAGCTAAGGGACAGTGTACAGGCCTTGAGTTCAAGCCCCACAACCAACCAAAAAGAAGAATAAACACTTATAATTTCCTCTTTTTTATTAGCATACATTACTACAGGAGTAGGAGATTTCATTATGACATTTCCACTTATGAAAGCAATATATTCCAATCAATCTTACAATCAGAGCTCCTCTGTCACTCTCCCGTATTGCCTTCCTTTCTTCCTAAACCAATTTCAACAGGTTCTTTTGTTCTATTTTCATACTTGCAATCCATTCAGACCATATTCTTCCTCATTCACCCTTCTTGTTACCCAACCCCTTTCCCTTAGTACTCACCCCCCCAGAGCTTGGTCTCTTTGTCTACCCCATCCTGGATTAATAAACCCAGATTAATAGTTATACACAAAAATTGCATGAATTTTCCACTGTTGTTCCACTTTATTGATGGCATATCTTGAAGTTGGATTTTCATTTATAATGGCCATTGCTCTCTCAGAGTATGCACTGTAGTTGTAAAGAATTTTGTTTTTCTTTAAAAAGTTAAGGATTATTTAGGAGGTGTCCTAGCTATGTATTCATGAACCTACTCCAATTTCTCTGGTGTTTTTAATCTAGGAAAAAGTACATTTGAGCAAGTGAATCATTGATATATCCTAAATATATCCTTATGGGATCTGAAAATGACTTTCAAAGTCCAAAATTAGTGATTTCAAAGGCCTTCTGCTTATCCAGAGAATCAAAATCAGATATAGAAAACAAAACAAACAAAAAAACAAAGAAACAGCTTAGCTTGTGTTCCTTTGGCTACCTATATATCTTCTGACAAAGTAAAAAAATTTTTAAAAATAAAACAAGGTAAAGAAAGTCAAAGAGGAAACAAGCAAATATGAAGTTATAAAAGAAATGGTTTCTAAATCAGACATTATTTCAAAAGATGCACAAAATCCATCATCAGGTATATTAAAATCCAACAGTTAACCATTTTTTAGAAATGGTCTATTGTCATGATGTTCTTTATGCTTATTTTCGCTAGTATCGACCTTTATATGAATGAGAGAAACAAATCAGTAAGCACAGATTCATTTCTCTTTTGCTGGCACTGAGTTTGAACTCAGGACCTCACACTTGCTAGCACTGAGCCCATGTACACGGGACTCCAGTACTTTTTTTGCACCAGTTAATTTTGAGAGAATCTCACTTCCTGCCAAGACTCATGCCTGGAATGTGAGCTACCTATTTTCAGCTTCTGGCCAAAGCCAAGATAACAAGTGTGCACCATCAGGCCCAGCATCTTCTGTTAAGGTGAAATCTTATGGACTTTTCTGCCTGGGCTAGCCTGGAACTAGTCTTTCCAGGTTCAGCCTTCCATATAATTGGAGATGAGAGGCATATTTCACCATTTCCAGCTTCTTTCACTAAAATAGGGTCTTGTACACTTTCCTGCCTGAGCTGATCTCATACTGTAATCCTCTTGACCTCCATCTTTCTGTTGCTGGGATTACAAAAGTAAGCCACTAGACAGTATAAGCAAATGCCCATAGTGAATGGCATAAAGCACTTTAGACAAGATTGAGCATCAGAGTCTACCTTGGTGCACCAATCTTTCTTCACTGCTAAGAAACAAATGCTTTAATGCCTAGAGTTCATTTATCATTGTTTTCACATAAATTTATTTAAAGCATTTAAACATTACTCTAAAAGTTATTACAAACTTATTAAACACATCCTAAAATATGTTTGTATGAACACCTCCCATACCACAAACATCAAGATTATTTGTCTTTTCAGTTCAGAAGTCTCAAAAATAAAACACACACACACACACACACACACACACACATATTGCAAAGCACCACACTTGTGGTTTTTCTACAGGATAAAAAAAGTCTTTGTCAAAGTTATCCAAACAATCCCTTCATCTCACAGCTCATACAGACCTGCGCTGCCAACACTTAGCAGTAATACTCTGGTCTCGAGCACTGGCTTTTATTCATCTGTGATTCCACACTAAACCTAGAACAAAGCAGCAACTTTTCTGAATCATCTCTGTGCCTTCGTGTCCAGAGTTCCCCTATACTTTGAGACCTGGGTGACAGGGTCTCAAATTGGATATAAGTCTCTTTTGCCAAATCATCTTCCCAAAGGGAGTCAGCTTGACATTGCAGTTTGCAAACTTTATACAATAAGAAACAAATTACTGGGAGGAGAACAACACAGGCTGTGCTGGTCACTATGATGAGGAAAGACCACTGTGAGTCACCAGCATCCACTCTGGCTGTGGAAAAGGTGATGCACTGGTCCTTCTGGGCTGGCACTCCTTTTGGAGAGACACACGCCACATACTGCCTGCCAGGCTCCAGGCCATCTATGGTTACTTGATTCTTGCTGGAGTCTGCAGTCAACAGCAGCAGGTCTTTCTCGCCATACTTGGAATACAACACGGTCACCATGGCGTTCTGTGTGGTGTTGACACTAGTCCATGCTAAAGTCACGCTCTCTCCAGTCTCCCCGACTACCCTGAGGTCTTCTATTGTGGCGTTTGTCTCCAACGGCATAGCCTGGTCCAGCAACGCCAGCTCTTCTTTCTTACTTGCGCTGGCTGGAGGGAGCTTGCTCCCATTCATCTCCATTTTGGCATTTCTCTTCTCGCCTGAGTGCAGTTGGAGCAACGGCCTGCCAGCCGTGGTGCTGCTTGCTTTAAGATGAGTTCTTGGAGGTGAGGTGGAAGAAAGGATGGAAAAGAAAGGAGATAAAGGGAGAGAAGCAGGGGAAGAAGGAGGTGAAGTCGAAAGAGAAGCTGAGGCAGCAGAGGAGGAAGAAGGGGAGGAAGAGAGCCAGGACACTGACAGTGACCTAGGTTGGCTTGTGGACAGTCCAGGTCCTGGCTGGGCCTCGTGCTCAGCGTGGTCTCCAGTCCTTCTTCCAGAAACGTCTGGGGATATGGTAGTTGTAACAACACCAACCACTGCCACGATCACCACAGCTTCTGACATCCCAGCCAAATTTTTGGCCTTACATGTGTAATCTCCAGCATCCTTGTGAGAAACACCCGTCAAACTTATTATGGACCATCTGACTCCTTCCTCCGGTGACTCCTGGATCACTGGAAGAAAACAAATGTGCACTCGGTAAGAAAGAGAGAGAGAAGTAGAGCAGTTGTGCCAAACTAGAAGGAAACAAGTGTATCTTACATGTATCCCTCTCACTAGCCAAGGGAGAAACAGCATTTATCTAGTCTCTGATGGTAGCTGATAGCTCTATGAATGGTTGGCATGAATTTATGCCCAGGGCTGTGAAATCCATATGAAGAATGAACATTTAAAGGTATATACAGATGGGAAAATCAGGAGATATGGGTTTTAGTAAATTCTGTGTATGTGTGTGTGTGTGTGTGTGTGTGTGTGTGTGTGTGTGTGTGTGTGTGTTGATATTTGGTCTTGAACAAGGGCCTGGGCTCTATCCCTGAGCTTTTTTGCTCAAGGCTGGGCACTCTACTACATGAACCACAAAACCACTTCTGGCTTTCTGGTGGTTAATTGAGTCTGATAACTCTTCTGCCAGGGCTGGCTTTGAGTTGGGATCCTTAGGTCTCTGCCTCCTAAGTATCTAGGATTACTGGCGGAAGCCACTAGTAACTGGCATAAACTTTTGTCTACTAAATAATGTGTAATTTTAGACAAGTCCGTTCGTGTCTGTAGAATTCTTGTCTGTATTTGTAGTAGAGTAAGGCAAAGTGATCTTGTGGGTTCCGTCCAATCATAGTTGTGAGCTATTAAATGTTTATCATAAGATTTTCCTTAGGTAGTTCTCAAAATGCTTTGTTATTGTAATTAAATGAATCTACTCATATGAACAGAGGACTGCATTTTGGCATGACCTCATCATTTATATTCTAAATCATTTATTTCCTATTTTACTTCCGTAAGCTAGTAAATTACAAGTTCTTTTGTCTGCGAAGTAATATATCATTTTTGCTTTCTGAAACACAAAAATCTAAAAATACTTCCAGTTTGTCTTAATTTTAGAAGCTTTCTGGAGAATAATAATAAATACTAAATATATAAATAGCCCAAAAGTTAACTCAGTAGCTTAAAATGCGGCTATTTATTAGCTGTTCATATAAATATTTTAATATTTTTATTGTGAAAATACCATACAGAGGGGTTACAATTACATGGGCAAGGTAATGAGTACATTTCTTAGCAAGCATTGTTGCTTCCTCCTTTGTTCATATAAATATTAAGCCTAATTTTTTTTACCACTTTATTAGTTTGTTTTTGTTTGTTTGCTTGCTTGTTTGAGATGAGGTCTTACTATGTAACACAGCTAACCCTAAGTTCAAGACCTCCTTCCTGAATGCTGGAATTACAAGCACTCATGAGCCGTGTCACCCGGCTCTTAACATTTTTTTTAACCCATCAACTTTTATTTGTTAAGCCTTAATTTTAACTGAATTCCTAAGAGTTTTAAAATTATATCCCTTTAATCCTCAGAATGTCACTGCTGACACTAGGACCAGGGCATAACTTGGTCTCAAGAGGATCTGCAAAGTCTAGGTAACAAATGGTTTTAAAACTCATACTTTTTGCCCCATGATAAGGCTTCTATACGATGTATTATTTAAATAATCACTCAAATATAAGACATTTGTATGGAAGCCCGCTTAAAAATATCTTCATGGCTTTACATTTTGAAATGGGCTGTATCTAAGAAGACACACTACAACTTTCATCTACTGAATTTTCTCTGATTTTATCTGGGGGGGGGGAGGGGTAGCTAAACTGAGAAAAATAGTAACCAATAAAATGTTCTCTTCAAATTCCTTTCATCCAGATGACTGGAGCAAACACTTTGATGGTTCAGTGGTAGAGCATCTGCTTAGCATGAGTAAAGCCAGTGGGTTCCATCCCCACTGAGGTGAGGGAGAAAGAGTGAGGGTGGGGAGAGAGAGGTTAATAATTTGGGGATGTGAAATTGTACAAAAAGCTGGGTGTAGTGGTATAGGCCTGTAATCCCAACTATTCAGGAGGAGGGGCAAGAAGATTGAGAGTTCCAAGCAAACATAAGCAAAGTCAGGATGGCTCTATCCCAAAACAAAAAGACTGGGAGTGTGGATCAACTGGTAGAGAGCTTCCCTAGCATGCCTGAAGATCTGGCTCAATCCTAGGTAAAAGGAGAAGAAAAAGGAAGAGAAGGAAATGGAGGAGGAAGAGGAGGAGGAGGAAGTGGAGAGGGAGAGAGATGTGGTGGAGGAGGAGGAGGGGAAGGAGAAGGAGGAGCAGGAGGAGGAGAAGGAAGAGGAGGAAGAGGAGGAAGAGCAGGAGGAGGAGGAGGAGGGAAGGAAGGAAGGAAGAAGGGAGGGAGGGAGGGAGGGAGGGAGGGAAAGAAGGAAGGAAGGAAGGAAGGAAAGAAGGAAGGAAGGAAGGAGGGAAGGAAGGAAGGAAGGAAGGAGGGAAGGAGGGAGGGAGGGAGAAAAAAAAACAGATGTGAGTGGCTCAAGCCTATAATCCTAGCCACTTAGGATGCTGGAATCTGAGAACTGCCATTCAAAGCATCCCTGGAAGAAAAGTCCATAAGACACTATTTCCAAAGTAACCAGCCAAAAGCTGGACAGGTAGAGCTTCAGTTGAGCAAGCAAACTGTGGGAATACAAGAGCCTGAGTTCACATCCCAGTGCCGGATTTAAAAAAAAATGCTCAAAAACATGAAATTAGGTATGGGCTATTGTAAACTCTATGTCTCATAGCGTTGAATGAAGAAAATACCTGTATGATTGACAGGCAAGCTATCCGATCGGGTCCACGTGAGCTGTGGAGTAGGGAAGCCAGTGGCATCACACCGAATGAGGACATTGCTGCCCAGAGCCGAAGTGATTTTGGTGGCTGATGTCATCACCGATGGCTTCAAACACTGCTCCAACTCCGCTCTCTGAAATAAAATTCCTGTGAGGCGCTCAGGCTCACTACAGATCATCAGTGGGTCGAGCAGCACCACAGCGGGGTCGGCAGCCTTTGACAGCTCAATCACTTTGGAAATATGACAGTCACAGACCCAAGGGTTGTCCTGCAGGCCTAAAACAGAAGGGAAAAAACAGAAGGTCAATGCATGTCATTATGATGGATTCACTTTACAGTCTCTTGGAAAAGGAGGAGGAAAAGGGAAGGGAAGGAAAGGGAAAAGAAGAGAAAGGACTTCAAAGCAAATACAAAATCCAGGGAAAGACTATTAAAAAAAAAACTATTTGCTAACATCTCAGATGAATCTCAGATGTGTTTCAGAGTCCTCTGAGACAAGCATCTCTTGCAAGATCTTATATCCTATAACCTCACAGAAAGCCCAAGATAGAAAATGATAGAGCTCACAGATTGTGGTGATGGTTACGCCACAAGCACACTTTTTAGTTGATTTTTATGTTGGGTAACTGAGTGTGGTTTGTGAAATCTAATATGTGGGCTGTAATCCCAGTTCTAGAAAGTTCCACAACAGTGAGTAGGTGCCTGACAACCTGTCTTAGCTTTACCTGCAGAGTTTATATAATGGTGATACCTAGCAATTCGCTATGAGCAAAGACAAAAATGCACCTGAAACAAAATGAGGATGAGATGACAGGACCTCTTAGGGGAAATACTATAATTAAATTCCCTGGCTCACAGATGACCTGAGCCCTGTGGATCAGACCTAGGTATAGGAATTTCAGCTAGGCAATGTCAATCAATACTCAAATCCCCACTCTACAGACAAGCCACTTTCATTCTATTGACAGTATGTTGGTAATAGGTACTGAGATGATTTTTGCTGCTACACATTTACATAAGGCAAGAGAAAAGTCTGGCATCTCTGTCTTCCCTCTGGGTTTGTGTTGGTTCTAAGCCTTTCTCTCCACACTCACCCAGCCACCACCTTGCATTCCAGGAAAGGACAGATAACACTTTATGACAAGGGATGGAGCCACCTCTCAGGAGAGCAGCATGGACCGCTCCACCTTAGGATCATCACCAGTGAGACTGTGCGAGGAATCTCCTCATAGGAACTACAACTATTGAGGAATCCAGAAGAATCAGAGCTGCAATACTAACCCACCACGCCATGTCCATAATTAGGACTCTAACCTTTTCCCGCTCTCTAGTCTTCTATTTTAAGCCCAATGCTGTTTGTATCTCTAAGATGGCTAAAGATTAACTGAAGTGCTGTCTTCCCTAGCATCATAGCATACTTTTCTCTGCCACATTCCTTTCTAAAAATGTTCCAATGACTTTCAGTATATGTCTTGCCTGAATTCTTCTCTCATGGGTCACAAAGACTGAGATAGAGAGTTGTGCTGACTTTCTGGTTAATAATGGCAGTAAAAGAACAATGGGGAGAGATGACACTGGTCAAGATACATCATACTCATAAATAAACATGTTCAACTGCAACCTCTTTGTAAAGCTATTTGTGATTGATTTAAAAAATAAAGAAAATATTTTTTAAATGGCAGTAATTCTTGCTTAGATTTGCAGGAAATGTCAATACTATATCCCTTTCTAAAATGATTTATTTCTTATTTTTAAAAAAATCTCTACAAACTTTATAACCATCCTTGCTAAACACAAAACTGAAGAGCTATTGTTAATAGAGTCAAGGTTTTAAACTCAAGGTAAAGAAATTTTACCCAGAGAAAAGAATATTCGCTACACACTACTGTATATCTTCTTCCTGTTAATAAAGCAACCGAGCTTATAAAATCTGCACCTCTTCTGAAAACACAGAGACACATATGCAATGGTGTCATGTGACCTAAGAAGTAGGAAAATGCCTAAAATAATAGACACTCAAGACCCCTAGATACTCTATTAGATATTAATTCACTATTGTAGATATTAGTTGACCTGATATATGAAGGCCAGTTGTATGGAAATAAGAAACTAATTTATTTATCTATATGGTTTTCTGTGGCCTTGAAGCTGCTGCCTTGCTGGGCCTGTTTTCTCATCTGAAGGTGAAAAAGTTGAGTAAACTGCAGAGCTTTCTCTGGCCATAATATTTCATCAGTCTATAAACTAAAAATACTAGCAAAGTGCCAGTGCCTCGTGTCTATAATCATAGCAACTCAGGACACTGAGATCTGGAGGATCTTAATTCAAAGCCAGTCCAAGCAGAGAAGTTTGGTAACCTCTATGTTTGAAATAATCAGCACAAAGTTGGACTGGAGGCCTGGTACAAAATCATAGAGTGCCAGCCAAACAAGCAAATAAAGCAAGAATGAAGCCCTAAGTTTAAACTCTGGTACCAGAAAAAAAAAGTAACTAAGGAAAAAGCTGGAACTAGAGTTGTGGCTTGAGCAGGAAAAGCTGAGAGTGAGGGGCCCTAAGTTCAAGCCCCAGTAGCAGCACAAAAAGTAAATATAGTGAAGAATGAAAGGACGTTTCGGTGTCTACATTTACTCACAAGACCTGCACAAACTAGAAAACAGCATGGGGAATTGTCTCACAATACCATGTACTGAAGTGGATTGGGGAAGCCATTATGGAAAATAGTATGGAGAGTTCTAAAGAAATTAAAAATAGAACTATTATATAAAGATTAACCAGTAGAAAGGTGAGAAAAACAAGGCTTAGGAATCTACCCCAGATCACACCATTGAGCAGGCAGCATTTAAACTTAAGTATCCTGATCTAGAGTACTTAACACACTACTATGCTATGTCCTATACTGGCGTTTTTCTGATTTCACTCAGAGGAGATGGAAGAATATAGGGTTACCCTTCTGACTCTGTAAATCACAGTCCTGACTAATCCCAGACTCTTAGCTTCCTAATCTAATGCTCTTCTCTATCTTCTTTGTCACCTAAAGACACTTACAAGTCACAGTGACAGTGGTAAATGCTATTATCTACAAATAAAAACAAGTCAATGCCGCAGAACCCTGAAATATAAGTGTCTACAGAATTAATGTAGCATTGTTTCATCCATACCTTAAAACTATCATAAAAATTTGTTGGGGTCTGGGAAGGTGGCTCAGTGGTAGAGCGCTTGCCTTGCATGCATGAGGCCCTGGGTTCGATTCCTCAGCACCACATAAGCAAAAAGAAAAAAGCTGGAAGTGGGGCTGTGGCTCAAGTGGTAGAGCGCTAGCCTTGAGCTGAAGAGCTGAGGGACAGCGCCCAGGCCCAGAGTTCAGGCCCCACGACCGGACCCAAAAAAAAATTTTGTTGGCCAGAAAACACAATTTTTTTTTTACAAAATATGCTCCACTTGCTTACATCTAAAAGTAATGTAAATCCAGAGTGAAGATTTTTAAATCCCCCCCCCAAAAAAAGAGAAAGTCTATTATGCCAGATTGGAAATACATAAGGTCAATGGTACACATTTTAAAACCAGACTAAAAATAGAGATCCAAACACTAAATATATTCACTAAGGTGTTTTCTTCTAGGGACAAAGTGACAAGAGCTTACAAAAGTTAAACTATTACTAGTATTGCATTCCCTCAAGGCAATCCACCAACCACAGTCACAATAATTTGCATTCATTAATTTATTTTATACAACTCTTCCTGGATGGGACCAGTGAGTTTTGTTTATCCCTTTCTAAAAATGGAATATAGTATTTATCATGCATCAGCACAGTTGGATTACATGTGCTATTTACTGGTGTAGGTGTGAAAAATCAGTAGTAAAATTGTTCATTTTTTAATATTTTACTTTCCTTTTCCATTTGCATCTATCGGTTGTACAGGGGGTTTCATTTGACATGTCCATGAGACAAACAATGACACAGTATCCGACACCCTCTGTCACTCTCCATCCTTCAAGAACAACAAATTCTTTTTTTTGGGGGGGTGTTGTGTTATAAGGCTTGAACTCAGGACCTAGGCACTATCCCTGAGCTCTTTTGCTCAAGGCTAGCACTACCACTTTGAACCAAAGCACCACTTCTGGTTTTCTGGTGTTTAATTAGAGATAAGAGTCTCCTGGACTTTTCTGCCCATGCTGGCTTTGAACTGTGATCCTCAAATCTCAGCCTCCTGAGTAGGTAGGATTACAGGAAGGAGCCACGGGTGCCTGGCTAACAAACTCCTTTGTGGGAGACAGTAGCATTTAGTAACTGAATGGGGAACGTCTTTAACAAATGGTGCTGGAAACCCTGGCATGTGTCTCTGGAACAAAGTAAACCTCAGCTCCCTTCCTATACTATTTTCAAAGACTATAGTTATATGCAGAAAAGCTAAGAATATAAAGCTAATAACTGAATATTAAGGCTGTATTAAGCACTAACTGAAAAAAAAAGAAAGCACTAACTCTGAAGAAAAAAACTAATAAATCAAATGTCACCAAAAGGGAACATACTCTTACCAAAGACACCCTGAAAAAAAATGAATAAATGAGTCAAAAGATTTATAATACAAATCACAAACAACTTACATGTACTAGTTTTAACAAAAAAAAATGCTAAAAGTCAGGCCAAAAACTTGAACAAATATTTCATGAAGGCCTATACACAAATGGCCAACACTATTAGTCATCAGGGAAATGTGTACCCAAATCACAATGTGGCACTGCTCCTTTGGTTACCCCAGAATAGCTGAAATACAAAAGACTAACCCCATGAAGTGATGGGGAGGATACAGACCAACCAGAGTGGGAAGTGTGATGTTGGACAACCCCAGTGGAATACCAGCAAGTTCTTTAAAAATTATCATTATAGCTACCCTGCAACACAATCCTACAGGTTCATCCAAGAATAAGTGAAGATACTCATCACGCAAAGCTCTGTACAGAATGTTAATAAAAGCCTAATTCTTGATTGACCCTAAACTGGAAACCGCCCACAGGTCCAATAATAGAAAGTATGAACAGTTGGTTCCTTCACACAGTTGAGTACAATTCTGCAGTAAGCAACCATTTGTTTGTCCATCAAAATGGATCCACTTGGAATGGAAAGACTTGGAAAAAAATATATTAAGTGAAATAAGCCAGACCCAAAGAAACATAGGTCCTATGGTTTCCTGTATTTGCTAACAAGTATATTACCAGACAAGCAGAGAAGGTCAAAAGCTATGTACATGTGACCATATAAGATGGTGCTAAGCAC